ACCGCTGCGTTGCAGTCTTACAGAGAGGGAGAACAGAAACGACGGCTGGGAGAGAAAGAACGAGAGAGTGACACAGGGTGAGAGGATAATGATCTCCATCCAGGCCACCGCCCACCACACAATTCTCGCCTCAAGAAACCTGCACGTGGCATATGACTCCTAGCAGTTTTTCATAAGAGATAATCCATTATATGCCACTGACTTTGTCACACGTCTACGATTTACCATCGACTTTGTCACGTTCTACAATATACCATTGACTTTTGCTTAACCTCTACGATTTACCATCACCGTCCGGTTAGCCTCCGTTAGTACAGTACAATTTTGTCCAAATGACCGAAATACCCCTAGAACAAAAACTTCCAAAATTTGGATAAAAAAATTCAAAATATCATATTATAAACATAAGAGTGTAAACATCCAAAATTTGGCCAAAAACTTAAAATCTTATATTTCAGAAATTTTATCCCAATTTTAAAAGTTTTGTCCTACGGGTATTTTGGTCGTTTTGATAAATTTGTACATTACTAACGGGGACTAACCGGACGGCGATGGTAAATTGTAGAAGTTAAGCAAAAGTCGATGGCACATTATAAAACGTGATAAAGTCAGTGGCAAATCATAGACGTATGACAAAGTCAGTGGTATATAATGGATTCTCTCTTTTCATATTTACTCCTAATAGTATATTTTATCATATACTTCAGTAAATACAAAATATTTCTAAAAATACCCCCAGATTAGTACTCACACATTGATATCCAGGACCTTGGCAGTTTTAATTTTACAAGACTGGACTGATGTACAAACTACCTTTTATAGCTCTGCGTATTGAGCTGGCCATAGAAGTCATTAACCTCAAAAAATATATATGTGTGTTATATATTTTGTGATTAACAAATTTTGTATATCTACATCTATATACCAATAAAAAAAATACATAAGGCTTCAAGGTATTTTTTTGACCGTCCTTTTTTTACGATTTTTTCCATCGTTTTTTTCGCTTAAGTCGTTTATTTTATTTTTGCATGCGGAACGGTGTGCGCAACCTTAGCGTGTATGCGCGTCGATCTAGGTTGAAGACGGCAGCCTCGGATAGGATTGGGAGTATCAGCACTCTTATTGGCAATCTATGCGAGTTGAGCCTGCAGTTCCACTTGTGGGCTGCAGGCCGAGCGGAGGAAGGTAACGGACTAGGCGGGGCTGAAAAGAAATGATGTAATGGGCTTTCGAATTAAAAACAAAGAAGATGTAAAATTTATCGCAATCAATTTTACCCAGTGCAATGCACGTGCATTTTACTACAAAAGTTTTAATTTGGATCACATGTTAAGCTATGCTTTTACTTTGGATTGGACAACATTTTCTTTGTTTGCATCTTGAACCACCTTCGCTGTTCATCTCTTTCATCCCCACCCAAAACCCGGCTAGCTGGGAACTAGAGGGCACGCACACGCTACTGGTGCTGAGTGGCTCGAGCTCAGACATTGCGTGAGCTCTATCCATGTTGCACCATAGTCAAGCCTGGTTTACTCGGTTTGGTTCAACTCCATTATAAGTGGAGCCGATTTTCCTATCTCTTCTTATAGATACCGGTTTATTATAAAGACATGGGGAGAGGGAAATGAAATCTTGTGATAGGGTTAAGGTTTGGCTGTAGATATTTATATAGATTAGGATCAATCTGGACCGTCCATTCGATTGGACGGCTCCGGCTTACCCCGCTCGGGCCGCCGGACTATTGGGCCTCCAAATAGGCCAACAAGTTTGCGCAATCAGAGAAGAGGAGGAGTTAGGGGACGTAAATTAGATTTTATTTACGGGCTGAGACAGTAAAAGGACTGAAAATGGCCCATAGAGAAATTGTGGTTTTTATTTACATTTTTATTTAAATAAATGCTAAAATGATGTTTGTGTTATCAAATTAAGATTCGAAAATTCCAATTAAAATTCAAAGAGCGTTATTAATCATGATTATTTCAATAAAAATAAAATCCAACCATATAATATTATTTCACGGCCTGCGGTGGATAAATGCGCAGCTGCTGTCGGTGGGAGAGAAGGAGCATTGTTTATGTCCAGAACTATCTCCTATAGCTCCGATGGAACTATAAAATAACTATAATCATTATTTTAACATTAGTTTTTTTCCCTGTTGCAACGCACTATTGAATAATATTTTGAGAACGGTTAGTTTTTTTATTGGACAAATATTTTTACTTTTAATACACCGTAACGAAGCACGGGATGTATGTGTGTGTATATATATTTATATATATAAGATTAGTATTTTTCCAATCGTCACCTCTCCGTGTGCTGTTTTTTCGTGCGTTAAAATGTCCGATTCCAGAAAAAAAATCAGTATCTTTCCAATCCAACACCAAAAATTTTGGTCCGTAAGTCCAACCGAGCGCCCCCTAATAGCGTACGGTGGGCAAATCACAAATCAAAGATCAATTAAAAACCGAATCACAGCATATACCATCCAGTCTGTATCAAATCTATCCCCATTACAACCAAATCGGATACACCACAACACAAGCAAGAACAAGAACCAAAGCTAAAAAAAATTGGACAAAAGTTGAAGCATAAACGCATGAACAAATCCAAATATCCCTTTACATAACCCAATTTTCGGCTTACCCCAAATCCCAAACCGATCCAAGCCCTCCAAATCAACCATCCCATCATTCCCTTACCCAAGAAATTCACATGTGTAGTCCAGCTCGAATCAATCAAGATGCGGCAGTGGCTGGATTAGTGAAGCGAAGAGCTGGATCCAATCGAATCAGACCACCCCAATCAAAGAAATCTTTGCTTCACCTCACCCGCTCCTCTACCTAACTGGAGATGAAAAAAAAAATCCTCAAGGTGCTCCTCTACCGCCTTGTCGCCGATGGCAGCGACCTTTATCTCCATGGCCGACGGTGCGGTGGAGATAACCAGCACATCGGCTTGGTGCGACGACCACCTTCCGCCTCGGCACGGCGGCTCTCCAGCCAAGCGTGAGCGCGACCGCGAGCGTGGCCAGGGGCGGTGGAGTCGACTGTGGAGGCGTGGCCAGGGGCGGTGGGTGAGGAGGGCAGCGAGAAAGCGAGGAAAAGAGGGATTGTGGAGAAAGCGAGGAAGAGGCAAGAAGTGGCTCCATCGGTGGCCTTATCCACTCGGGTTCGTTGGTTGTGGGAATTTTTGGCCGTTTTTTTGACAAATTGACCCTTTTGGAAAACTTATTTCGAAACTAACCCCTGCCAAAAACTTCAACCAAAAATAGGCCGTCGCCTCAGCGCCAAACACATTGGCGCTGACGTTGGCCGTGTCAGCGCCAACGGGACTGGCGCTGACATTGTGCCACCGTGGCGGCCGGGCCGATCCCCAGCTGACGTGGCAGCTACCTCAGCGCCAACCGGACTGGCGCTGAGGTGGGACTTGGCCGCAACCCCCAAGGCCCAGACCAGCAAGGCTTCTGGATGGCTTGCGGGCTTGGACCTCAGCGCCAGCCATAATGGCGCTGACCGTGGGACACTCAGCGCCAGCCCACCTGGCGCTGAGGGTGGGACTTGGCCGCAACCCCCAAGGCCCAGACCAGCAAGCCTGCTGGATGGCTTGCGGGCTGGGACCTCAGCGCCAGCCATAATGGCGCTGACCGTGGGACACTCAGCGCCAGTCCACCTGGCGCTGAGGTGGGCCTTGGCCGTTTCGAGCCTTCTGGATGGCTTGCGGGCTGGGACCTCAGCGCCATCCATAATGGCGCTGACTGTGGGAAACTCAGCGCCGGCTCACCTGGCGCTGAGGTTGGACTTGGCCGTTTCGGCCGTGGCCCAGCCCAACAAGCCTTCTGGATGGCTGGGCTGGGACCTCAGCGCCAGGTGCACTGGCGCTGAGTTTGGACATGTCAGCGCCATTTAGCATGGCGCTGACGTCCCAGCCCTGCTAAACTTTAGCAAAACTTTGCACACAACACAGGCAAACATCAAATCACAGAAATTTACAGGCAGTAATATATCCAGAGAACCATACAAAACATACATCCATCCATCAATCCCAACATCATTCCATACATCCATAGAATCCATCAATACATCCATATATGAAGTCCATATATATAAGAAATAAAAACATCCCATCGATCCTCGTCTATACATCCAGTCCATACATCCATCGAACCATGCATCAAGTCCATCCATCTATCCATCCATCCATTGAACCATGCACTCACCTCCTCCTACCTCTAGTGCGAGGACGAGGCACGTCGGGGGTGTACCTCCAGTCCTGCGAAGGAGCCCGCCGGCGTCGTGGTCGAGACGGGCCGGGCTGCGAGATATCCGGCTGTGACGACTCTGGTGCGTCCTCTAGCTGCGAGGGACCGAGCTCATCCGCCTCCTCTTCTCTGTCCTCATCCCCTTCTTCCTCCTCATCTCCTTCCTCCGCCTCTTTGTCTTGCTCGCCCTCCTCGTCACCCACCTCCCCTTCTTCATCCCCCTCTTGGTGGGCATGAGCATGTTCGACCACATCAGTCGACCTGCAGCCGAGCCTTGCTGCCAACTTCCGACATCGCTGCCGTAGTCTCTGCATAAAAAATAATCCATGTTAAGTTATCGCTTTTGGAAGAAAACACCGTAGTTTCATCTCTTTCCAACGATTACCTGTAGGGCGTTGCGGAGGGTGCCGCCCTCTCCTTCGGAGCCAGGAGCCGTGCCTAGCGCCACTCCCGCGTCGTTGACGGTCCGCAAGAGCTCTCGAGCCTGTAGGATTGAAATGAAGTAAGTCACAACATATATGGCATTGAAATGAAATAATATACAACATTAATGCTAGAAACTAACCACTCTGTCGCGAACAGGTCCCGTCTCGACCGTGGTACCTAGACGGGTACGAGTATCGTACTTGTTCTGCTCCTCAACATCCTCGGGGTCATCCGCTATGTCGGCTAGTGTCCAAGCCGGACGTAGGACAAGACGGTAGGTCCTGTGGAGCCACGCCAAGTACAAGTCGAACTCCGTCCTGTTGTGCTGACCCTGGTCTGGTACTCCATTCTCCTCGAACTTCTCCCATTGCGTGATATGATCCTGATGGTAGTAAGCCCAATCAGTCACCTTCTTGTTCTTCCGACGGTCCACCCTGCACGTATGCAAAATGTCCAACTCAAATATGTAGTAAATGTTGAAGTGACTGATTGGGCAAGCAAAATAAATTGTTAAGTGAAATTACTAACTTGTGTAGGTCGATACTCGTGGAGAAACGGTGCGGGATTGTTTGAAGCCTCCCGAATTGCCGCATCCGCCCTGCAGTATCGCTGTACTGTAGCCTCGTCTGCCTCAGCGGGACACTGACCGAAGTTGGCTCGCAACCAACTCAAAGGAACCCCTGATGTCTTCGTCTGCCTCTGACCATCAGGTGCCACTGGAGGCTCCAGACCAAGGTACTCCTCGACCCTCTCCCTCCAGTTCCCCGACGCTGTGTCACCTGTAACCGGAAATTAAATGGAATCATTAGTAATTGCAAAAAAATTAACAAATGAATACGAAGACTCGTTAGTAATTCCCTGACGTTGTGTCACCTGTGACCGCCTGACCCCGGATAGGAAGACCCAGGATCATGGCGACGTCCTCCAGAGTGACCGTCAGCTCCCCGCACGGTAGGTGGAAGGTGTGTGTCTCTGGACGCCACCGGTCCACTAGGGCCGTCAGAGCAGCGGCGTTGTACAGAGGCACCGGTCGCTGCGCCATGGTCACGAACGCCAAGAGCTTCGCCCGCCGTAGGTACGGGACGTACCGATCGTCGAACAGTATGTGCGCCGTGTGACCTCTGACTCGAAGGGTCTTCAAGTGCTGCATCAATAGACAAACATAATAACATAAAGTTAGCGACAATATATCATATACAAGGGTTGTGGAAAATACATCATGCAACTAGGAACTTTAATTTTGGGATTGAGCAAGAAAACTGAAAAGAAGATCTGTGTGTTTACATGCTCTGCTTTGAGGCTCCTGAACTTTGATTTGAGATATCTCTATGATGGATGATCTATCTGTACAAACTAAAATCAAAGAAGAAAAAATAAATTCGATCATAAAAAAAATGGAATATTGTTGATGCTAACCTCTCCGCTGGCAATCTGTGGGGCCCGGTGCTTCTCCTCGTAGAAATCCTCTAACCCCGGAAAGTGCTCCATCCTGCAAATGAAAATGGAATCATTAGTAATTGAAAAAATATTAAATGGAAAAATCACAATGAGAACGGAAAGGAGGACAACAGAAAGTAAACATTGAAGCAACAATATGAACTTAGCAAATGAATGTCATCCAATCCCACCTGTGTGCTACCCTCACCACCTCCCCCTGTCGTACGGCGCTTTTTCGGTCGATCCTTAGACTTGTCTCGCTTCGGGCACCTAGTTTTCTTATGGCCTAGTTCGTGGCATAGCGAGCATCTATTTTGCATGACCGGCTCTGAATTTGTATTGTTCGGCTTTTGTGACCGTCGGTTGGCTGAGCCTTTGTATGCTTTGTCCATATCGTTCTTGAACCTTCTTGTCCTTCTTCTTCCTCGTGTGTTGTTCTTTAACGACAAGTCGGGCACGAAGAACTCTCCATCATAACTTGGCCACTGCGATGGATCTAGGTAAGGTTCAAACCTAGGGGAGTACGAGTCCTGCACAGCCTTATTGGAAGCTTCATAACACATTCGGGGGGCCACCTCCACATCCAAACCTCGCAACTTACAAACGGTTATCATGTGGGAGCATGGCAAGTGATGGAGCTGAGGGAACTGACAACTACATGTGTTATCTCTCGCAACCACGACGTAGTGACGTCCACCCCATTGAACCCCAGCCGCCGTGACTCCGCCTTGCTCGCTGACCTCATACTTCATCGAAGGGAAATCAAAACATGCTGCTCTTTGCCCCAAGGTTCGTCTTTGCTGCTCCTCCAAAATGTCCTTAACTTTTGTGGGCCACTTCTTTCCACACAGGATATCTACAGTTGCCTCTTTGTGTCTATCGACAAACCAACTATTGCACTTTGAAAATGTGTATGCCACAATAGCTGTAACCGGCAGTTTCCGAATGCCTCTCAATACATTATTGAAACTCTCGGCCATATTACTAGTCATGATGCTATGACGACGCCCGTTGGTATCAAATGCTCTTGCCCATTTGACTTTAAGTGGCATATGGTCTTCTAGCCACTTCTTTGGCCTCTCTCCGACCACACCCATGAGGCGTTTTATCTCATCTAGGAACAATGCTTTCTCATTTATTTGACATATGCGCTCAAGATCTTTCATCTGATCAGTCGTAGCTCCAGCTGTGTAGAAGTTAGCACAGAAGTGCCTCATGCACCACCTGTGGTGAATGGTTAGGTGATGAGGCATGATGTGGATGATGGAGTTCAAAATGCCAGGGTGTCTATCAGAAATTATACACACTTCTCTATTAGGACCGATCAACTTGTTTCTCAACATGTTGATGAACCACTCCCAGTTGGATGTATTCTCCTTCTCTACCAGAGCAAACGCCAAGGGAACAAGATGTAACCCGGCGTCGACCCCTATTGCCGTGAGCAATGTACCTTGGTATTTACCGGTTAAGAAAGTGCCATCAATTGCTAGCACCGGCCTCAAGTGCTTGAATGCTTCTATGGACTGGCCAAATATCCAATATGCACGTCCAAATACTCGCCTCTGTACTCCATCCACCATCCTGGACTTCTCGGGATGAGCCTCAATACGGAAATGCATGGTAGGGTTCTTTGCTTTGATGGCACGCATCAGTGTAGGCAAGCGAACATACGCCTCGTCCCAATCTCCCCAAATGACCTTCATAGCAACTTGCTTAGCACGCCATGCTTTGCCATACGTAGGCCGATAGTGCCATATTTGCTCAACTGCCTCGACAATCGCTGCTGGAGATAAAGTTGGTTCAGCTCGCACAAATGCCTGTAACCTGTTTCCAATAAACCTTGAAGTAAGTTGCAAATGCTTGCCGGTTACTTCCGCACTACAGCATGTGTGGTCTTCGCCCACCCTAGTCACCCGCCACCTATCTCCTCCACTCTTCCTTGCATTAATCTGCCATTTGCAATGGCGATCGAGACAAGCCACAGTATACTTTACTGACGCGTTAGATTCCTTCACATGGTACGGCCGGTGGACACGGATAGAATAACTCTGTAGCCATATTTTCAGATCATCCATCGATCGAAACTCCAACCCCTTCCTTGGTTCATCACACATTGGTTCGAAGGCACCGTCATATTGTGTATCCCCATCAGCAATTGCTAGCCCAGATCTGGTAAGATCCTCGAATTGTGTTATTTCCGGGTTTCTACCCACCAGTTTCGCAAACACAGTCCTTTCATGCTCTGACATCTTACGCACTGGACGATCATCATCGGAGTCGGAAGCGGACTCATCCAATTCATCCTCTGTATCATACTCCAACCAGGCTGGGTTCAATCCACTGCGTATCATAGCCTCCTCACACTCCTCTCGGGTATAGAATTTCAGCCTAGCCAACTCCCTTAGGCCCATACTTACATTCTTAGCATTCGCTTCTTCCTCAGGTAACTCCACATCATCTCCTACCTCCCGACCATCCTCAACATCTCCTTCCTCTCTTACCGGCACATTCTCCTCCACATTAGCTTCCTCCCTTAACGGCACATTGTCCTCTGCATGTACTTCTTCCCTTAACGGCACATTCTCCTCTGCATGTACTTCCTCCCTTACCGGGTCATTCTCTTCCCTGACCTCCACATCCGCCATATCATTTACTCCCTCGCCCCCTCCACGTCTTCCTCAATCAATTCTTCCTTCCTACTACACCTCTCCGACAGTTCGTGACAGCTAATGGGTGATTCTATGAGTTGACTTTCATTAAGGTCTATAAGTTCTTTCTTCCCTATCCTACCATCTTTCTTCCATGCAAACACCTCAAGAGATTTGAAATGTGACCCCAATACTATATCTATATATGTTTGCCATTCGATCTCTCCATTCAAGTCTAACATAAATTTATGTGACATGACACCGCCGCCCACATCGTATCTCCCTTGCATACCAACCGACTCATCATTACAATCCAATTCATGCTTGATGCGAGACATTAACTCCTCAAAGGTAGGCTTCGCAAAAAACACTAATTGTCTAACTGTCATTCCCTCAAATTGGCTTCCATGTGTACTTTCATCTACCACACAACCACCATAATGAAGCCGGACCAATCTATCCATCTACAATTTTTAACCCATGCATAAACATTAATTACTTGAAAATAATATGTAATTACCATTGCAATACCAATACTTCAAAAGCTAACAACATGTCTAATTTTTCCAATAAATAAGTACATTACTCAAATACTACACATTATTGATAAAAAAAAACTCTACTCCTACAAATTACCTACCCTTCACCACACATCAACCCCTTTCAAACCCTCTCAATCACCACAAATCCATCCCACATCCTAGGCCATCACCACACATCCATCTCCCATCAAACCCTAGTGCATCACCAAACATCCATCCCAAATATATTTTGTCAAATGTATCAATAACAACCAAATGGATAAAGATATGCCACCTCCACACTTCATCCCCACCCATATTATCCATCTAATAATCCATCCTTAGCCAACTATTATCAAACCACGTCTACAACCAAAACAATGCAAAATATCCAATAAAACTTTGGGGAACTTAGGGTTTATAGAGGGGTTTACCTTCTCTTCCGATTCCAAACTCAATGCCGCACAAATCACCTTCGATTAGAGAGGTTTTTGGGGGAGATTGGGCGAGGAGAACGCGGTGGCGACCGAACCCTAGGTGGGCGGCTGGGGAAAAAACGGAGGAAGAACTGGCTGGGGCGGCCTCGGCCGGGCTCTAAGTAGCCAAGGTCAGCGCCAACTTACTTGGCGCTGAGGTTGGGCACCTCAGCGCCGAAGCGGTTGGCGCTGAGGTAGCTGCCACGTCAGCTAGGGGATCGGCCCGGCCGCCACGGTGGCACAATGTCAGCGCCAGTCCCGTTAGCGCTGACACGGCCAACCTCAGCGCCAATGCGCTTGGCGCTGAGCCGACGGCCTAGTTTTGGTTGAAGTTTTTGGCAGGGGTTAGTTTCGAATTAAGTTTTTGAAAAGGGTCAATTTGTCAAAAAAACGGTTTTTTTGGCGTTCAGGAGTGAGTAGGTCGTTGTTGCCATGACACGGATGGCTGGGATGTGCCACGAGTCCACGACGCATGAAGGGCAAATTGCTGGCATCAAAGCTAACATTAACTAAACCTATTATATCTTTTTTCTCACTGAGTATTAATGGTTTAATTAGTATACTGGCATTTTACTAGCAATGAATGTTTTCAATATCATGTTAAATACTACTCTATTTCTATCTCTACTACTTAAAAAATTAAAAATGTTTCCGTCGTCCGTAATAGCGAAATCAGGGTGAAAAAAACATGAAAAAAAGAAAGTCCGATTCAATCTATCTATATACCTATTTCTAATAATTAAAAAATTTGTAAAGCTTCCGGGTTAGAGTTTTCGTCCGTTGTCAAATTTGGACCTAAATACTAGAGAAAACACTACTACAATAACACAATATCAGATTCAAGAACACTAAGAAAACACGCCAGAATGGGAGGGTGTCTCCGTTGCTGCCGGCTGCTCCCCTCCCACTGGATCCGGTGGAGGGGGCCGCCGGGCCGCCACCGCCTCCCCTCCTAGATCCGACGGAGTGGAGGGTGCTGCCCGCCACCGTCGAACCCTCATG